TTACTTCTTTCATGTATCAATAGTTTATTTTTAGAGGGAAAATTTTTTTGGCAAAGCGAACAAGTGTGAGAAAAAAGCGCGTTCATTGTTAGTTTCCGTATATTGTTTTGGTTAGATCTTTTTGATCAACTAATTTACCAATTAAAATCGTATCTACCAAATATCACATTTTGTTGTATAAGTGATATAAACGAGTCATGCAGAGTCAAATCTGCCTATATAAGTATAATATAAATGAATTTATTGGATTTTTCCTTAAGCTAAAGGACCTGATGCTTGATGATAATGACTTGAAAATTATTCGTAAACAAAAGATTGCTAGTTATGCTTTTCTTCAAATAAATAAAGAAAAACTTTATACTTATGAAATGCTTGGTGGTCTTGTATTGGTACTTGCAGATTTTACCAAAAAAGTCAAAAAGAAAAAATTGAAGTATACTCGTCATATAGAACTCTGAAAGATTTTGAAAAGATATTGGAGAAATTTGAAATTGATAGTAAAAATATAAGAAAGATCCCAGAATTTGAACTAGACAAGTTTTCTATTATTTTTTTTAAAAGGGTTATCCTATATATACTTTATAGAAACAGAAAGAATTAAAGACAGCGATGAAGATTTATAATATTGCGTAACTGATATAAACATAAAATGAGTAATTTAAGCTCAGCAACAGGTAGTAATGAAGCCTTGTATTATGAGTACATTTCTATAATACTACATGTAAGTCTCATTATTGCTAAAAGAATCACTAAAAAAAATCATTCTAGAACCTGAGTTTGAAGTCACTGGTGATGAAGTAACAGATAGAGTTGACTTGCTATCAAAAAAGTCTTTGACACCCTAGATGAAGAACTTATTTGCATTATTGAGGAAAAACAGAGTGATTTGAACAAGGGATATATGCAAAATATTATGCAACTTGATAGTTTATACTATATAAACATGAGAAAATGAAAAGCATCTGAAGTTTTCAATAATTAATTTGACTACTTTTATGGTGTTATTAGTACTGGTAAGTTATAAAAAAAGATTAATTTATAAAGTTTGATATAATTAAAAAATTAATGATAGCTTACAATCTCAATCTTAACTATGAATTGGTATTTTATCATGTATATACTAAAAAAGATTTACTATGTAAAAGAAGATTATCATCTTTCACTTACTAAAGATATTTTAAAGGATGATAAAGGACTTCTTCAGAATTTAAAAAAGGTTATAAAGGTAATTGTAAGTTTGTTGAAGAACTGGATTATTATAGATGATCCAATTACTAAGAAGACTAGAATGGAGAAATATATTAAATAATCAGAGGATAGAAGTTTTAGCACTATATATCTATTTTTAGCTACATATTCTTTACATAAACTTTGTAATAATCTTTGGCATACAATAACTATATTTACTGATTAAGAAATCATTTTAGTGATTTTTAACATGTATACTATATCAAAAAAAAACTTTTTTAAAAAAACTTTTTTTGTCACATCAATCACAATTATATAAAAACCTTATCTTATTATATGAAATAAAGAATATATATCACCATTATAATGTGAATACAAATTAAAAAAATTGATTATTCATCTTGTGATTCATATAAGTATACAATAATATGGTAGAAGTTATAAGAAAATTCTCTCTAAAAAAAATCAAAAATTGAAGTTGGTGATTATATACATCTTTCTATCTCTAATAAATTTGATAAATAGTTAAAAAAAAGTATTACTAAATCAAGGTTCCAAATGATTCTGAATTTCAGTTTAGATATTATTGATATTAAGAATAATAAGACAATTTAGAGTCATATTTTCATACTCCTAAATATAAAACCAATAGTAAGTAAAATTTTATATATAGTTTTTATTATAATAATAATACCTCACTTTGAAATAAATTATTAGTAATATTTGAAAAAAAAGAATAATATTTACCTTATAATTAAATTCTGTTTATTTTTATATTGTTGTTTCATTCATCTGACTTGGAGTCCTTTAGGAAAAATATTGACATAATATAATAACAAAATGCTTTTTACCTATAATTAGTGGAATTTCTATCCTATTAAGCAAATTTATTATCTCATAGAACTTAAAGATAAATGTATTATCCTATAAAAGATAAAATTAAATCTTTTAGCCTTTCAAAGAATGAAAATAATAATTTTGAAGATAGCAGAGATCTCAAGTTCCCTGATATATAAATTTTGATATTATTTTTGAATAAGTATAATAAATTTTCCTCATTCATGTCCTTTTCAAATTTCATTTATAATTTCTCTTATCAGAGAAAACCATTTTCAATAAGAAAATGCATAATTATTAAAGATATAAACCATTTTATTAAATTATTGTTAATAAAAATAAAATATTTATTAATTTTTAAATATTTGATTCTCTCTCCATTTCGATTTTTAAAAACCTATAAAGTGAATATAAAATTATATATAAGAATAAGTATATATGAAAAGTAATAATGAATATGATAGTTCTAATGAATATCAAAAAATAATTTATTTTTTAGAAAAGAAAGTAATTGTGGTTGTTCTTCTAGAATTCCTAAGAAAGGATTTGCAGAATTAAGAGAATTCTTTCAAGCTCTTTTTAAATCAGAATAAAACATTTTTTTAATGGCCTAACTTAAAGTAATAGATAATAGGTTAACAAGCACTAGCAAATACTTTAAAAAAAATCCAGATCTAATAAAAGAACTTTCTATCATTGGGATCACAATACATTCCTATGTTAAGAAATTTATCTTAGTATATTAGGAATTAGTAGAACTTATTTTGAAAATATTAGAAATCATTTGATAAATAATGGTCTTCTGTCAAGAATTTATAGCAATATTAAAAGAATGTCTTAATGGAAAACTAAGATGGTGATTGATAAAAATGTTGCAGAAGTAATAAAGAATTTTCTAAAAAATTATATAGAAATTCATGGATTATCAAGTTCAGAAAGAAGCATCAATAGAATAACTCAGTCAATCATATTCTTACCAGCTAAAATGAGTTATAAATCAGTCTACGGGAACTTCTTAACTGGTCTAAAAGAAGATAGCAAATTGAAATCCTTAAAATATAATACTTTCAAAAAGTTATAACATCAATTGACATCAAAAATTCAAATTATGAGTTTAAGAACTGATTTGTGTGATACTTATTAACATTTTAAAGATGGTTTACATTATAATACTTACTAAGAAAAAGTTAAAGATTTGCTCAAAAGATTTAAAGAACATTTATTCAAGGCTAAATTAGAAAGAAATTATTATAATAAAAATACTAAATTAGTAGAAGAACAAAGAAAATTAGTTAATCAAAATTATTCAAAGGGTAAAACACAATATTGCAATATTGATACTATTGTTCATTATCCCTTAAACTGTAAAGCAGGCAAATTTGCCTGCAAACATAAAAAAAAAGTATTAATTTTTTAATAAAATATA